TCCCCTGTGGAAAGTGGTTCAGACCTGCTCTTGGTCCCAGTGGTGTGGAACTCGATCTGAGGCGGGTCTAGACCCATTCATTATTGGGGGACACCCTTTCGGTGTAGAAATGCATGTGCCTCTGCTTTGATCAATATTTTTTATTTGTTTTAAGAGAGTTATTTGCTCTGCTCCATTTTTTCTGTACTCTCTTTCTGGAAATCCTATTATACTGACTGCCCTGAGGCACTCCAATGTTCTTATCTTCCTTCTTCTGGTCTTTCATATCTACATATTTTTGCTCTACTTTCTGGGAGATTTCTTCAACTCCCAGAAGATACTCTCAGGTATCTTCAAAATATTCTCTTGAGTTATGAATTTCTGTTTTTTGTTTTCAACTTCTAAAATCCTGTGTTTCAAATTGTTTCTTTTTATGTAGTATCCTGTTCTTGTTTGTTTGATATCTTTCCTGATCTGTCTGAGGATATTAAAGGTGGTATATGTGGAGATTTTCTTGTTTTATTTTGTTTTTAATTCTCTTCCCCCTGCTTGTTCTGTTTCCTCCAAGTTGCTTTTTTTCAGTTTGTTCGTTTTGATTTCTATTTTTTATATATGTGATTTTCCTTATATATTTCCTGTCTCATAATACTTGGTTTTCTGCTTCTTTAAAAGTCGGGTGCCTAAAAAGCTACTTGTAAGTTTTGAGAGCACAGTTAGAGCTTGTTGGCTATTTTATTATAAGAGGACTTGATAAGGCCTTTTAGTTGGAGAATCTCTGATGCCCAGAGGAGCCTCCCCAGTGTCCTCATTGGAACGAAATAGGCCTGACTGCCAGCCCAAGAGAGCTGGGTGGTGGGTCTCAATATTCACCATGCATACAGTCACCTGATTTCCTCTGTCTTCAGCATGGTGACCCACTCTTCACTGAGCCCATAGCCTTCAGTCCAGCCACCTCTTACCTCAGGGAGGGTGAGGCAGTGAGCGGCCAAGCAGTACGGAATCAGGGAGAGGATCGAGCCCCAGACTGCTGCCTGCGGAGACTTGCAGTCAGGCCTCACTTCCTGAGCATTTGGAGACTTCTGCAAGTGTAAATTGGGGCCATTCTCAGCTCTCCCACTGTTGGTTTAGGAGACTTTTCTAGGGCTTCTGCTAAGTCCTTTAACACTCATCCATCTGCTTTCCAGCTTCCAGAATTTGGTTTCTCACATCTCTTTCCCGCCCTCTTAGCTCATGTGAGTTTATTCCTTTTTGAAAGGTTTCTGGGGAAGGAGCAAAAGTGTGTGAAAACCACCATCTTTATCCAGAAGCTAATGCTTCCTCCAGGCCTGCCCTATGGCACTGACTAAATTTTAGCTTCTGCAGCTTCCTACTTCCATACCCTAATTAAATAGCCTAATTAAATAAATCAGAATAATTCCTGAGCGCTTTTATGATATTTGGGTCACTACAAGGAGTGTGTTGCCCCCCCCCACACACTTAGGTCTAATAGCCCCAAACTTGACTCATGATCACTACAAGGAGTGTGTTGCCCCCCCCACCCCCACCCCAACACACACACACACACACACACACACACACACACTCTCTTAGGTCTAATAGCCCCAAACTTGACTCATGTGGCTGACTTTGCTCTTGTTGTTCCTTCAAAGGAATGCCGAGTTGAGTGGATTTTAATAGTGCTTTATCTTGCCTTATTGTCCTTGATTCTGTTTTTCTTCAGTGCTTTCTATTGCTATTTAATGCTTATTAGGAGACAACAATTTATTTTAAAAATTGAATTATACAGGATCCGTGCTTGGTGAGCCGCTGATCTAAATTAGTGGGTAGTAATTCTTGTTAATTAACCGAATCCTCTCCTCTCTGTCAAGCCACCATCATTTCATTAACATTGCAGCTCTGCTTTGAGTCATAACATTGCTTGTTAGGACATGTTAGCTGTTACCTTTTACTTGTTAATACAAGTGTTTCATGTTTTGTCGTAACTGAATGTTTTTTGGCACTTGGTGGAAACTTTTGCTTACTGCCCTCATTCAGACCTGGTGCAAATTAGAAAGTGGTTTTTGCCAACTCAATTCAGCTTTGAGCCATTTCCTGATTACATTTGCTTATTCAATGTAGCTATATTAATTGTAGAGGGCAATGCCATGCCCTTGGAGACTATTTTGACTGTAGACAGCATTTGCAAGATGAAAGTTCAGCAGACAGTGTTCAGACAATGGCAAAAAGTCATGCAAGGGAGCTGGTGCCTGTTGAGCGCCAAAGTAGCACCAGACCCAAGTCTGACTTTCAGGCTGTATTTAATAAACCCCTTAGAGAGGGAGTGTTTCTCCTTCAGCCTTTTCGCATTTCAGCTAGTGTTACAAATCCCAAATGTTAGTCTATGACCAGCAAAGCAATCAAAGAGAATCAGTAGTAGACACTAAAATTCAAGTGGTCTAGCCGTGCAAGCCGCTGCTATAAACAGGAATTAAATGCTTTCCTTCAGCTGAGGGGGAGGCGATACCATTAACCTGATCGGCCAAAGCAGGAGTGGGCAGCTGTGGCCTGTGGGCCAAATCCCAGCTGAGGCCCTTTTTTTCTTTTTTTTAAACTGCCCTGGAGGTAGGGACAGGTTTTACAGTTTTAAAGGGTGGTTAAAAAAAAAAAAAGAAGAAAGGAAAGGCGGAAGAAAAATAAGAGGAGGAAGAAGAAACAAAAAGAGGAGGAGGAAAAAGGAAAAATATGTAACAGAGACTGTATGTGATCTGTAAAACTTTAAGTATTTACTATCTGGCTCGTCACAGAAACAGTTTATAGACCCCACTGAAGTCTAAAGACCCCTCAGGCGGGGCCTCAGTCCTCTCCTGACTCACATGCTCCCTCCCAAATCAAGAAAAGCTCTCTCCAACTCTTTACCAAGGCTCTGTTGGTTTAAAGATGTGTGTATGCTTGTGTGTGGTTTTTTAAAAATTGAATTATAAATGGATTTGAATCACCAGTCCTCATGTTTGTGGCATTTGAGATTTACCAGTGGAAGAACAGTGCAATATTTATGTGCACATAAGTCAGCATGGCCAATCACAGACCAAATACCCAGCTACAAATGAAAAATCCATCAGCAGAACTGTAAACGGTATTTCTGTTACAACTCTTTGACTTGGTTGGAGATACTATCATGCAAGTATCTGCTGAACTTGTTTCTCTTTGCAAAGTATGAAATGTGAGCAAAAATATTTAAAACGTGCCTGTGAAATACAAATATACTTTCATCTACTGAAAGCCTAACCAAAATTTAAAAAAAAAAAAAAAAGTTCTACTTAAATAATTAACTTTAGAATTAGTTAATTTTTTAAAAAATCGTGACTTAACCAATTGTCCTCCCTTCCTGTGGATATCAGCTAAGATTTGGTCTTTATCCACAGGAGATGTATGAGGGTCATCATTCCTTTAGGTTATGTTTTAAAACACTTTGAATCTCCATGCTCCAGAACATCCACTTAACGTTTCCCAGTGAATTTTCCAAAAACTTTGCTCTGATACTACCTACCAATCCCCTTGCTTTGAAATTCTTAGACCTACATGACCTGCCAAACGATCTAGTCAACATTAAGAAAGAAATGAAAACAAATTACCAAACATCCCTTTTTGTGTTAATAATCAATATAAAAGTCACGGGGAAATGACCAGTTGTATATTATTCAACATATTGTGCTATATAATTCTCTGCGCTACAGGACAATTTTCATATTTGCCTTGAGTCCACTGGTAAATTCAGCACACTAACAAACTGATTATTCCTCCAACAGTGAAATATCTCCCCTTTTCTACCAGAACATTCAGGTGACTCATCAGAAATAAGGCTTATGAGGCCAGTTTATGTCTTTAATTCTCAACCTATTCCAAAATATAACTGGGATCAACATTTAATGTTCATTTTCAGTGGTGCCTGTGGCTTACAAAGTCAAGTAACTAATTTTGTCTTCCCCATGGTGACTCTGACCCAGACAGCACCCAGAATTGTCCTGTGTCCACAGGATTCATCTCCAGCTCATAATGCAAACCGGTTCTAATGATAAATGGTAAAGTCAAACATGCCATACTTGTTCATTTCTTTTCTTTCTTTGCCAAAAAGTTCATATGTAAAAATAAATAACCCAAATTATATACTATTATAGAAATCCAGAGGTTACCATTAAGCGAGTGGCTTGATTTATAAAAATGAGAACATAAAATGTATAAGTAGAATTTTAGCGAGAAGGTAATCTCGAAGCATATGAGCTCATCCTGCATAGTGTGGACTTGAGGAGTCGCTCCTGGGGTCCTTACTGCTGTCAACCGTGGATGTTCAGGGAAGGAAACTTGTGTGCAAACAGTATCCTAGCTAGGTCAGAGGAGGTTGTAGGAAAGTAATATTGATATACCCTCTCTCAGCAGGAAACGAACAATTAGTTGTGTACTTTTTGGAGGTTTAATCATCTGAGACTTATTAAGGGGGCCCACCATTGACTGGGAAGAGCAGGAGAACTTGTATCTGATCCGGGGATGCTTTGAATGGTTAATTAGGTTATGGAACTTATTCCCAAATGGAATGCGTCAACTTAACATTGAATATCCCTAAAACTACAAAAGAAAGAAAAGAAAAAAGGGGGAGGACAAAAGACATTAATTTATAATAATTGATTTAATTAATTGATTATGATTAATGACCAAGAATAGTCTAGAGAAATGCAAAATCTTTGAAATCCCAAAAGTTGCCCAATTTTATTTTCTGGCTAATCTGTTCATTTCTAAAGCCTCACTTCTGAATTCATCATGATTTTCTTAAAAAGAAGAGGAAAAAACCCTGCCCTTTCAGAACAGATCTAGAACGGTTTGAAAGTCCCCGTTGCTTTAATAATCAAGTTGGGCATCAGCCTGTGCCGCTGCAGTTAATGAGCTTAAGCGCTCCTGCAGGGAGAGGGCCGGGGCATCCCAAGGTGCTACAGCATGGCCAAATGTTCCCGAGCAATTAGGAGCTGACTCGGTGTTTATCTTCTTTACAGGTGGGAAGGAAAGAATGAAAATGAAGTGGGCAGATGTAAAGAGACCGGCAAAGTTCACGTGACTGTGGATCTCAAGTACTACCGGCCAACTGAAGTGGTAAGGACTCTGGCCACCCAGTGCGTGGCCACATTTGGCTGGCTGACTGGGAAAATGCGCTCATGGAATGCCTGCTGCCAGTCTTTGGAGCTGTCAGTTCAGCTCCCTGGCATCCCTCAGTGTGCATTTCCAAAATCAGAAAACAATGAATTCAATTTAAGATTATCATTCTCACCACAAACTTCATTGCTCTATAAAGGAAAACAAGAGTTAAACCCATCAAAAGAAATCATTGATTTCAGAAATGGAATTTCACATCACAAGCAGATCTAGTCATGTTGGTCTTCTATTCTAATGGCTGGTCCCTGATAGCCCACAGGGTGCCTGACTTAGCAACACCCTCCCAGACCTGCGGGACCCCTGGGGCTGGAGAGCCTGCTTGCCTCTCCAGCCGTGTCAGTGTCTGTGTCTGTGTACTCATACACAAGTACACACTTGCACACTATACCATAAATGGTTTCCCCTGCATTTTTTAAGGCTCAGGTCAGGTACCACCCTGTCCATGAAGCCTTTCCTGGCCAATACGTCAGTACTGCTGAATTCCTTCCCACTCCTTTCTTTGTATCCGCATTATATGCTCTACGTGATTCTATTATAGTACCTATTATAACTCACTATAATCTAATCATTTGTTTACATATCTTTCTCTCTTTACCAAATTGTGAACTCTTTGAGGATAGGGACTTTAAAAAAATATCTTAAGGCCAGGCATGATGGCTCACGCCTGTAATCCCAGCACTTTGGAAGGCAGAGGCAGGCAGATCACCTGAGGTCAGGAGTTCAAGATCAGCCTGACCAACATGGTAAAACACCATCTCTACTAGAAATACAAAATTAGCCGGGCCTGGTGGTGCAAGCCGGTAATCCCCGCTACTCGGAAGGCTGAGGCAGGAGAATCACTTGAACCCGGGAGGCAGAGGTTGCAGTGAGCCGAGATCGCACGCATTGCACTCCAGCCTGGGCAACAACAGCGAAACTCTGTCTCAAAAAAAAAAAAAAAAAAATCTTAGACTAGACTATAACAAGGTAGGTACTTAATAAATACTGACTGATTGCTAGATGGATGAGTGAATTTCTAAATACAGAAGTTCCTGTGTTAAAAAATGGTTGTTAGAACATAACATCCTCCTTTCCTAAATTTATAAAGCTGCCTAGCCTGCTGTTATTGCTTTAATGAGGTCCATCCTCACCATAGAAGCAAAACTCAACGTAGAAAATATACCTGAAGATAGTAGAAAGCATCGTCTCCAGAGAGAAACGTTCGTATGTGTTACCTAGTGAAGTGAACATTAACTGTGAAAATTGAATTTTTTTGAAACCATTTTCCCTGTGTTCTGAACAAAATTCCTATCTGTTGTACAACCTTGGAGAGGTTAGGAAAACTCCGTGGAGGAGAGACTGAAAGTGAATCGGTCATCATTTACCACTCTTTAAAATGTCCTGTTTCAGACAGAAGGAAAAAACTGTATTTCATGCACTCTGCACACCGGAGGAAATAAAAAGGAAAGGAAGTAACCAATGCTTGGGAGAGGTAGGGCTGTGGAGTTGTGCATTGTCCAGCCAAAGGGCGTGGCCGGGGCTCCAACGCAGCGAACAATTGTTCCCGGTGCTAATGGAGAGTGGGTGTGCCCAGGAGAGGATGTGTACTGGCCCTCGGGAAGGGAGATGCCAGCCACACTGTGCTGACACAGCCAGGACTGCCGGCTGGAGCCCTGAGCTGTGCTGCCATCTGACTCTCTGGCCTGAGGAGGTGCGACAGAGATGTCAGTTTTCTGGAACATGGCACAGATCACATATTTGGGCAAATGCGTTTCAGTATCTACAATCAAAAATGGCCATCTCAGAGAAGAAATTTACTAAGCCAACAGAAACCTCAATTTTTACAACTTAAATGTGGCTCTTTCCCTCTCTGACACCAAAATAGTTTCAAAAGCTAGGAAGTCATTAAGAATGGCTTGTCTGTCATTCCTACTTAGGCAAGGTGTGGGATTGATAAGGACACAGAACAAAAGAATTCACTGAACAGGAAAAGGACCCTCAGACTAACAAGACTGTTCTTGAATCTGCATCGACCCCCTTTCCTGCTGTGACCGACTCCGCATCCCTCCCATTTCTTTTGTTCATTCAAATGCTATCATCATACCTGTTCTGCAGCTCTGTTGACACTAGCATTCTTTCAGTATAAGAGTGGTATCTGATTTCATATACTTGCTTTATTTTTCCACTGATTTGGCTCTCTCCTGAGCGTCCCTTTACTGTCCAATTTTGAATCTTGAACTACATTTTATCTTTCTAAGCCTCTAGGCTGCATTAATTTCATTCACTCCGCTTCAACTTAATATTCCACTGGGTAAGCTTTTCTTGTATAGTGAGACTAAACTTTTAACCTCATTCCTCAGAACAACAAGTTTCCCTAAAACTTGGATCAACTTGACAGCCTCCTGTTGAGTTGCCTCAGGGATGAGAATATTCTTCCAGTTGAAAGGTAACCAGAACTGGAGACTACATTGTAAATAAGCTTTTAGTTAGGTGTGAGGTCCCAACAGCCAACGGTCTAGAGCCATTTTGTATGAGTCCTGAAGAGCACCAAGCTTCTCTGAGGTTTGTCCACATTCAGCTTAGGGCAGATGTGGGATTCTCTCACATCTCAACTGAATCTTTCCCTTCTCAGGGTCTCAGTCCATCCTGCACATGCCAAAGACTGCTGCTGCTTCTTCTAGTACTATCAAAGTGCTTCCACTCGTCAGCTTAGGCCATCTGTCCCCCGAGATCTTCTGCACGGAGGGACACTCAACCAATAACTACGTCGTCTTAGAATCATTTCAGAATGATAGGGGGAAAAAAATGCCATAAAGAAAATTTGAAAAACAAAGTGGTGAAGACACGTCAGGTCCCAGAACACTGATATCCTACAGCAAGACTAAAGAGAAATAGAGCTTTATATTGTGTTTTGAATAAGACTCAGAATGGTCTCAAAAATGTCCCTTTGCTCAGCAAAGGCAGGTACTAGCTTGAAAGAGGCCACCAGTGATTCCATATGGGGCATAGTTCCACGTGTGCTGGTAATTTTTTTTTCCTCATTGATTTAGTGCCTCAAAACCTTAAATATTGCTTCTGTACCAGTGTGAAGTTTTGAAAGTGTTTGCTCTGGACTAAGGACTCCAGCATCCAATTAAAGCTCAATCGAGCAACATTTTTTGGTACTCTGCCTACAGAGGTTTGTTACCACAGACAGCCTGATCCTGGAAATTAGACTTTAAATTTTCCATCACTCCTGAATTCTGGTATTTGTTGATGACAACATTAGTACTTGAGTTCTGTGCCACTTAAGACCCCTGTCTTGTGTTTAGTTTTCTATACATGTGTGCGTTGATGCACAGATTTATTACATGTTGTGTTCATTCTTAAAGAGGAAGTGGTATTATGCTCAAATGTGGGCCAAACGGCCTGAGTTTGAAACCTACTGATTACTAGCTGTGTGACCTTAGGCAAGTTCCTTAACTGCTCAGTGCCTCTGTTCCCTCATTTTTAAAAATGAGATTAATAAGAGGACTTCTTTCAAAAAATTATTGGAGAATTGACGAATCAGTTATGCAAAGTACTTATTAGTACAGTGTCTGGCACAGAGTAAATATCCAATATTGTTGTTGTTCTTAACCATTCATTCATTCACTAAATATTTACCAGACACTGTGCTAGGCCCTAGGTGTACAATGATGAACAAAACAGATACAGTCCCCACCGCTGGGAAGATTGCAAATGTAGAAATGATAGCAGTTTGGCCGGGCGCAGTGGCTCACGCCTGTAATCCCAGCATTTTGGGAGGCTGAGACAGGCAGGTCACGAGGTCAAGAGATTGAGACCATCCTGGCTAACATGGTGAAACCCCGTCTCTACTAAAAATAGAAAAAAAAAATAATTAGCCGAGCATGGTGGCGGTGCCTGTAGTCGCAGCTACTGGGGAGGCTGAGGTAGGAGAATGGCGGGAACCCGGGAGATGGAGCTTGCAGTGAGCCGAGATCACGCCACCGCACTCCAGCTTGGGCAACACAGTGAGACTCCGTCTCAAAAAAAAAAAAAGACATGATAGTAGTTCCCGGAGTCCAGAATCTTTGGAGCAGAACGGCGTTATTAGTGATTGACTGACATTCAGACTAACCAGCCAAAAATAGATACCAAAACATACTTGAAGCTTCTAGCGAACATTATTAAGCACTTTTTAAAATGCTAATTTTTTCTTGGTTTTCACCCTTTTTGATCCTCTTTCTGAAAGTTTAGGAGCTATTCAGTAGTACAGAAATATTGTGTAAATATGAGAAAACTACTATTGACCTATTAATGTATATAAAATAACCACAAATATGTCTTCTTCTTATTTGAGAATTTTTAACTTAAAATTCACAAAGGAAGGATTAATGAAGTAGTCATCGTAATGTGCCAAATTTTTAACCACATCAAATGGTCAATCCACTAAAAAAGCAAAACAAAAGAAAAAAAAGCAAAGAGATTTTTTCAGTCAAACAAAAAGTCCCTTTTTTTTTCTGCGCATCTTAGGAAATGGGATAAAGGGACCCATTCACAGACCCAAAGCAAGTCTTTTCCATGAAAAGCATCTTGGCTTAAACTCTATAGCTGATGTTTGCTCCTTTTTCTCCTTGCTACGCTATTTGTCTTTAACATTCATTTTTCTTCCCACTGTGTTTTTAATCTCCTCAGCTGTGATTGGTTTTTGTTTTATTTACTTAGATATCTGATATTTATTCCTAATCTTTATAGCTATCAGGAAAAAATCATGGGTTAAAACCTAGAACTAAGAAAGCAATAACTTCAAAGAAGTCCAACAAGCTGGTTAAAACAACACCTTCCTCCGGTAAAAACATGTGGCCTGTTTCTAATCAAATTACCGTATGCTTGTCGTTGTCCTCCCAGCCCCGCAAACTTTTCCTAATATTTTTCTGTAAATGATGTTAAGTTAAATGGCCTGTAATTGCTTGCTCTAT